ACCTAATTACCTCCCCTGGCCAAAAAAATAAACAAACAAACAAATAAATAAAATAAAATAGAATAAAATAAAAATAAAAATAAGGTTCTAAAAAGGAAGGGGAGATACTCCAGTCCAATCTGACTATGACTGGTAAATCGTCCTTGCCCTGGACACAGGGTAGGTGGGCTTGGTGATCTCGGCAGCACTCACTGCCCGCTGTGGCCAGACTGTGGCCAGCACACAGAATGGTCACCCCACACCCTCACCACCAGGCACAGACCCTCTCATCCTCCAGATCAAAACAACCCATCTCTCTCTAGGCCAGGGGAGCACAGCCTCCTACTCACCGGCAATCCTACCATCGATGGGGGCCTGGGGCGTCCTGGGGAAGGAGCAGACTCCCTCAGCCCTGCAGCCGAGCTCCGCCCAGTGAGATAAATTGAGGGACTCCTCCCTGCTGAGGGGCCAGCTGGCTGGGTCAGGGCCATTCCGATGGCTCAAGGAGCTGCCAAGCCCCGGGTCTGGTGGCTGCAGCAGGAGGCCTCTTTTGGGGGTCACCTGCAGGGGCCTGATGCTCTCTGCAAGCAGATGAGAACAGTTCATTCTTTGGGTCCAAAGCGTCCCCTAGTACAGACCCCCTCAGTGACATGCCAGAGCCCCATGCCGCTGTGCTCCTAGTGTTCTCCCGGGACTCAGGCTGGGGTTAGAAGATCAGGGAGACAGAGGAGGGGGTGGGTGAGGCCAGATAGGTCAGATGTTAACCCCAGCTCCCAGACAAGTAACTTAGTCTCTCAAACCTGCTCCCTCATCTGTAAAATTGTTCACAAAGCCAAAGGTGGCAGAGCCAGGTCCAGAACCCAGGTACCCCCTCCATCCACCCAATAAATATTTGTGGAGGACCTTCTATGAGCCAGGCATTATTCTAAGAATCTTGAGGACACATCACTGAACTCAAAAAAGCTTCTGCCCTCATGGAGCTTATATTCTACTGGGGTGGGGAAGGGAGACAGATGATTAAAATTAAAAAATGAAATAGAAACAGTATACAATATGGGGGAGTGAATAAAACACTACAAGGCAAATAGAGAATTCTGGGAAAGGCACAGGTGGATGTTGGTCAGAGAAGGCTTCAACGACATGTTAACATTTGAACAGACACCTGAAGAGGCAGAGGAGTGAGCTGTGTGGGTATGTGGAGAAGAAAATGCCAGGCAGAGGGAACAGCAAGTGCAAAGGTCTGGAGGCAGGGGCATCTCTGTCTGACTTGTTCAATGAGCAAGGAGGCCAATGTGGCTGGAGCAGTATAAGCAAGAGAGAGAGGAGTGGGAGAGGACAGCAGAGGGTGGGGTAAGGACTGTGGCTTTAACAGGTGAGATGGGAGCCACTGGAAGATTTTGAGCAGAGAAGTGACATGACCTGACTTATGAAACTCTGGTGGCTCTGTTGGAAATAGATCATAGGAGATCAAGGGCAGAAGCAAGGAGGCCAGTGAGGAGGTTCTCCAAAGGTGGCAGGGGCTGGACTCTAGGCAGCAGTACAGGTATGTGAAGTGGTTGGATTCTGGGTAGATCTTGAAGATAGAGCCAACAGGATTGGTTTACAGTTGGGATAAGGGTGAGAGAGAAAGAAAGCAATCAAAGATGTCATCCAGCGTTCTGGCCCAAGCAATTGGAAGCTTGCAGCAGTGAGTAAGGACTGCGAGTGACATGGACAGCCCCGTGTGCAGGTCCCTGGAGACCCTGACAAGAGCGGTTTCCATGGAGACATAAGGAGAAGAGACAGAGATGCCACACAAACAACTCTTTGCTGGAAAGGAGAGCAGAGAAGGAGGAGAGGAGAGGCAAGAAGGCCAGAGAGCCACCACAGCACCAAGGACAGTCCCAGAGGGCAGGAGGTGAGGGCTGGGGAGGCAGGGCAGAGCCAGATGAGGAGCTTGGCCCACACTGCTGCCTCTTTTATCACTTTGCCTGGAGGAAGCCCTGCCCTCCTGATGAGGTCCATCTGGGGGAGGGTCTCAGCGCCCCTAGAAGAGCCTCCTCACCTTCCAGGGAGCAGGAGCAGGGCTGAGTGAGCGCTGTCTGCCTGAAGGCCCCCCCGAAAAATGGCCCACACACCAGGGCTCGCCGCTGGGTCTTGATGAACTGGAGTAGCTCATACAGAACGTCACCTGGGGGTGGGACAGGAGAGCAGGCTGCTGACCAGGCCCGGTGGTCACCTGCCTCTCAGATGAGGCCTGGCATGTGCTGTCACAAGCTTGGTGCTGATGGAGATGTGAGACCATAGGGTGGAAATGTGGAGGTGAGAGTGAGGGAGCAGGACTGACTCCTGGGGCTCTGAAAAACAACAGCCAACAACAGACTCCTTTGCTCTAGCTGGGAACCACCAGGCAAACATGTATGGAAAGAGGGGCGTCTTTGGGGCTGGGAGCATGAGCCTCCCACCAACACCCCCTTCATCTCCCTCCCGGGGCCCACCTGGGTTTGCATCAAGAAGCCAGTGAGTGTCCCTGACCTGAACCTGGGGCGCGGAGCCGGAAGTCGTCCTTGGTGAGGATGCACAGGGCTCGGCCATTCATTTCAAAGCCATGCTCCCCCGTGTGCTGCAGAGAGTACTCCTGCTCGGCCCAGCGCAGCCAGTGCAGCACGTCCTCCCTGCTCCAGAGCACAGGCTGGATGCCTGCAACCACAAGGATGCGGGCATGGGGGCGGGCACGGGGCTGGGGCCAGGGCTCTCCCCACATCAATCTCTCATCCTCCTACTCAGGCCTTTGTTTGAATGTCAGCTCCTCAGAGAAGCCCACCCTGAATGCTTCGGCTGAGCAGATGCTCTCCTGTCCTTCTCCCCACCACCAGTCATTTTCTCTGTCCTGTTCTTTTCCTTTTGTCACCTTACTTTCTTTGCAGTTATGCCTTACATTTGATATAATTGTATGTTTATCATTATGTATGCATTACGTATATATTCACTTATTTTTAGTACCCCCTTTGCCCACCCCCAATGCCCATTTGCCAACTATTCATATAACAAATGTTTAATGTAGACCTACTATGTACCAGGCACTTGGCTAGGTGTGCTGGGTACAGTGGTGTGTGTATTCAGCACCTAGGACAGTGCCTGGACCATAGTAGGTGCTCAGTAAATACATGTTGAATGACTGATGAATGACCAAACAGTCCTACGAAAGAAATGTTATTGTCACTGTTTTCCAAATGAGGAAACAGGCTCACAGAAGTTGTGACTAGCTCGAGGTCATTAGGTATCATGGGGTGCAGCCAGGCCCAGAACCAGGTCTGTCTTGTTGCTGTACTTTTTCACTTTGTTGTGCCAGCTCAGATCTGGGTTTGCTCAGGGGACAACCCTGGGGACAGGGGAGGATCCCACACCCCTCTTCATCACAGTTGGCCTTTATTGTACTACATATACACAAAGCCATATAATTGAGATTTGATGGCATTAACCTAAGATTGACAAGTACCACTGGAAAAGAAGAGAGGGCCCAGGTGTGTGTGTGGAGTTAATTCAGTGGGACAGGAAAGTTAATGGAAGATATGATAAAACCACAGCTGGCTTTCTACCTGGAAAATCTATATTTGGACCCTCACCTCCCATCAGTCACAAAAATCAATTCCAGATGGATTAAAGCCTGATGAATAGAACAATAGAAACCCTAATAAAAGTGGTAATAGGACACTGTATGCACTGAAAAAGGGTAGCAGAAACCTCAACTGTGACAGGAAACACAAAGGTTGTGATAAAAACGAAACACACATTTGACATTAATTTTTGTATATGTGTCAAAAGATACCATAAACAAAACTAAAAGAGGCTGGATTTCAGGGAAACACTTGCATTGCAGATGACAGATAAAGGGCTAATGCCTGTCATAGGTCAAAAACATCTCCAAATTGATTTTTTTTAAGAAGACCAAAAAAACTTTACCAGCAGTTCACAATGCAGCAGGATTTCTCAGCCTCAGCACTATCGACCCTTTGAACCTGACAGTCCCTTCCTGTGGGCGCTGTCCTGAGCTTTGTAAGATGTCTGGCAGTATCCCTGGCCTCTACCCTCTGGATGCCAGCAGCACCCCTCCCCCATTCACAAGTTGTGACAACCAAAAGTATCTGCAGATATTGCCACATGTCCCTGGGGAAGGGGAGAAAAGCCGCTGCCAGTTGAGCAGCTCTGCGGGAAAGCAGATCCACTAATAAACATGTGGCAGGACACCTCTGTAGTCAGGGAAAGGCACAGAGAAGAATGAGGTGTCATTTTAATGATAATACCTATACCTGGCACGAATGCAGGGAAGAGGATGCATTGCGGGTGAAAATAGGGATTTAGAGCCTCCGTGGGAGATCAGCCCGGTGATACAGAAGTGCGACACAAAAAGCTGTATGGTGTCAAACTCGGACACTGCACGATGGTGACATTCAGGAGGCAGCCAGCCAAGACTTCCCGGACTCTGGGGATCAAATGCCAACTGCATTTTTGTACATGGTTTCCTAATCCATGATATTTGAGCATATCAGCCAGGAAAATTCAAAACTACAATTCCTGAGTCAGAGGGGTCTGTTTTCCTGAGTTTGGCCAGAGAATGTAGATGGATTCCACACCTCTCTGGCTGTTCTGCCTCCATGAAAACACAAAAACTACACTGAGAGGGAAAAACCTTGAATTTTGCAGACATAATCAGCCACAGATGTGGTCCTGCTCCCAGGTCCAGAGAGGTGGGCGGGGGACTTCCCAGCTGTCTCTGAAGGACCCTGAGGTCACACACAGCCCCCAGTAACACCTGAAACTTCGAAACCTGTCATTTTCCTGAAGTGTAATTCGGTTTTTCTTTCATTTCCTTGTGCTTACTTCTACTCTCACCCTTCATCCCATTGCAGTCAGTATCTGTAATACAGTGATAAAGAAAAGGGCCTTTTTTTGTTCCTGTGTCTTCAAAGAATGTTAAGGTCAAAAGGCTTTTCCAATAGGACTTGAACCCCAGGAAAGGACCAGAATCCAAGCACTGGCTCAGCCACTAAGGTTCCATCAAACCAGCAGTGGGTCAAGGCCCCTCACACCAGTTGCCACTCACTGGATCAGCCACCTAGCTTGGGGCCAAATCTCCAAGCTCAGAGTCCAGGTTCCAGCTCAGCCCCTTACCTGTCAAGTCACTTCACAGAAGCCACTCATCCTCTCTTAGCCTCAATTTCCCACTCTGTTAAATGAGATAATAACTCTGCCACTCTGGGCTGCTGGGCTTAGACATCGTGGAAAATTTAGACGCCTAGGCCATATACCATACAGACTTTCCACCCCCAAGTAAAGACCTAAGAGACATGGTGAACGCATCCACCAGAAGACATGCATGTTAGTGTCCACAGCGACTCTGATCACAATAGAAAAGGACTGGAACCATCCCAAAGATCCATCAGCCAGAGAATGGACAATCTGATTGCAGTGTTTCTGTGCAATGGAATGCTGGCTGGCAATAAACCAGAAAGTACAAACGACTTCAACTCATAACACGTGAATGAAGCTCAAAGATGCTACACTGAAGGAAGAAGTCAGATACAGAAATACGATCGAGAACAGACAGCGCTAATCTAGGGAGAGAAATCACAGTAGTGGTGGCCCTCTGGAGGAAAACTGACTGGGAAGAGGCACAAGGGAACTTTTTGGGGTGTTGGAAACGGCCTAAATCTTGATCTGTGTGGTGGCTACACAGGTGTACACATGCATAAAAACTCGTGGAGCCATACACTTAAGATATGTATACTGGACTGTACATAAGTTATACCTCAAAAAAAAGTAAAAGTGAAAACATACAACAACAAAAACTACTAATGATGGTGCCAGGCCAGCTGTAAATGTTGGGACTTAAATGATTGTCTCAGTTTCCTTGTCTCCAAAGTGAGGTCGATGATAAAAATAGTACCAGTCACACAGGACAGTCATGAGGATCCTATAAGATAGTCCATTTTAAGGCCAGTGTCTGGCATGTGGTGTGTGCTTTCTGAGACAAAAAGAGCTTTTAATGTTGGAGGGAACACATGTGAAATGCTTGGCACAGGGCCTAGCACACCTGGGAGCTCAACTGATGCTGGCGAGTGTTAAGGTGTCAGGTCCCCCAAGATGTCTCTCTAATCTAGTGACAGGTGAGCCTAACCAGATCTCCCTTCACCAATCTAACCAAATCTTTGAGGCCTCACTTGCAGACCAGCCCATGGCTTCTCCCTCTCTTGGCAACAACCCACTATATTTTCAGTTTCTTCACATCAACCATCTTTTTCTCTCAAGATTCCAGGAAGATAACACCTTACTCTCTCTGCTCTGGGGGCCTGCGCACTGGGGATTTCCAGCCTGGCCGGCTGCCAACTTTTGGACTGATACAAACAGAGCTCCCGGCAGGGACAGCGGCCTGTCCAGGACACAGTGGGAAGGCTCAGGTGTCTCCCTGAGAAGTCAGCACTCTGTCGCCCCCATTTCCAGAGCTAATATTGCTTTGCTTGGTAATCACACTCAGCTTTATGGTCATCACCAGTTATGGGAGCAGAGCCAACACATACACAAGGGCACCATGGTAGGGAGGCCTGGGACAGTGTGGGTGAAACCCAGCCAAGGATTGTCTTGGCTTCTTCCCAAACAAGAGGTCATTTCCATTTGCACAAAGATGCACACTGTATAGCCCTGCCCCTGAGTTTGGGGACAGGGAGGCTCTTTGTTCTCAGATTGTTAGTTTGGGGAAACTCCCTTTTGTTTGTTGCTCGCCACATTCCCTTTCATTTTCAGGTAACGACATCACTGTCAACACTGCTTCCAGAACATTTACTTCTGGTCTCTACCCTCCCCACTCCATCTCACCTCTCTCTTTTACACCTGCATCCATCTTACTGCTTCTAATATGCCATGATCTAGAGCAGCATTTCTCAGACCACTCTGACCTCAATCCACAGTAAAAATTACATTTTATGTCATGACACACACCCATGTATATATAAATAGCCAAAACAAGTTAATTATGAAATCACAGCTACTTTGACTGTTTATGATGTACTCTGATATATCCTGTTTCATTTTTTAAAAATACTTACCTTCACTCACTAAATTGTTTTCACCTCCTCAGAGAGTCTTGACCAACACTTTGAAAATCATTGTTAGGACAGCTGCGTAAGATGTGGTCCTTGGATGCATTTCCAGCAGCCATAGCAACACCCAGGAGTTTACTAGAGATGCAGAATCTCAGGCCCCACCCAGACCTACTGAATCAGAACCTGCATTTCCATAAAGCTCCCAGGGGATTCATGTGCCCATGAAAATTTGAGACACCCTGGTCTAGGATACCAGGAATCCACGCTTGCTAGAATTGTATCTATTAAAATAAGAGCCCAGAGACTCTCTTGTAAGTGAAGGACATGAACTTGAGCAGGGGCACAGAAGATCTGCTGGAGCTCCCCAGGGGCTCTTTCCCCTTTTACATCACCAGGGGGTTGCCGAGAGGTGTCATTCCTCTGCCTGTGACACCTGAAAGTCAGGGGTGGTGCTGTATATCTCTTCCTGTGGCTTAGTCGCAACTAGGAACTTTGAAAGTCAGTTTCAAAACACAAAGATATATCAGTCTCTCTACATCCAACAGTGGGAAGTTCACAGCTTTTTTCCAGAAATAAGTTCCTGGAAAGTGAGGAGACTCAGGACCAAGAACTAAGTCCTGTGTGTGAGGCCCTGTCTGATCATTAGTGGAGTCTCAGTTTCTCTGTCATTGAATGAGGCTGTGCTGGTGACCATCTCTAAACTGCCTCCTTTCAAAATCCCCTGAGTTTTCCCTGGAGGTTGCACCACCTCCTCCCAGACTTACTCCCTTGTGACCTCAGGCCGGGTCCTGCAAGTGGTCCTAGGGCCTGCATTGCCTTCATAGCTCCTGACTCTCCCTGACTTGGCCTCAGGCAGACCCTCATGGATGCAGACCAGAGGAGGGAGGAGGGATGTGCGAATCCCCCTTTACTCTCCACTTCCTCAGAGGGAAGCATGGTTGTGAATCTCCTTTTGTGAGTGGGGGGTTCTCTGCCGGAGCCCCTTGAACCCCACCCTCCATCCCAGGCCCCCTCCTGTCGCTGGACATGACAGTCATCTTCAGAGTGGACTTTCCACTGCTCTACTGCACATCTTTGTCAGGCCGATAAACAGGGAAAAGTAGGCTCTACAGGGAAATGGCTTGTGTGCTTCACTTGGTGCCGACTCACAAGGCTAAGAAAGATTTGTTTTGTTGCTCACCTTCCTGCAGCGGAAAATCAGCCCTGATGATGAGAATGGAAGCTGGAGGTGGAGATGGGAATGGGGTGGGTGACTGGGAATAAATGTCAGAGAGATGCCAACGATGGAAACCCAGTTTCCAGAAATGTAAGAAACGGGGCTGACATCGCCCCAGCCATCTGAAAGGTCAAACCCTCATTTTGGGTGTCAGCAGTTTGCTTATTTGGGATGCTGTTGACAGGAAAATGAGTCATTTAGTGTACCTTATCTTTCAAGACTGTTATATATTTACCAAGGGCCAGAACTGTATTGTCTGAATATTTTCAGAAGTAAATATGAGTCATGGAATCTAAGATGAGAAATATAGAAGACGCTGTTGTATAGAAGGTCCTGTCTGTGACCCTGGACTCTCACCTCTACACTCTGAAGGCGGGGAGATGCCAGATGCCAGCACCTGACTCTACTGGACTCAGCCGGTGCACAGGGCACCTTGGAAAGCTAGGAGTCAACACGCCTGGAAGCAGCCCTCATCCCATGATGGGTGGGAAGTGAGTGGATAAAGACCCAGCTTCCTTACCCCTGGGCTGGGGTAACTGTCCCCCACAAGTCCCCATTGGTTTTGAGCTCCAGTTGCTAATAGTGCTGCCTGGCCTGAGAGGACACTCTTGGATTTCCTTCTCCCTTCTGTGGGGAAGTATTTCAGAGTCTGCTTCTGGGGAAATCTAACCCATAGCAACGGGATTAGAACTCAAAATAGGTCCTGATTGCCCTGCACCTTAAGTCGAGTAAACAAGAAACAGGCTGGGTCAAGAGGGGAGGAAATTCATTAGAAAAGTGCAGGAAGACCTGGTGACTACCTCAGCGGGGCCCCACCGCAGGGAGCTTCAAAAGCTAAAAGGGTTGCGTAATTGTATTCTACAAGGTGGTGATTAAACTTGCTAAATCCCCACTTCCCCTCCTGTACCCTTTCAGCAACTGTGAGCTAGGAACCCAGCGGAAGGGAGGGGACTGAAGGTTACCTGACCTTGGGCAGAACACACCTCCTGGGCCTCAGTTTCGCTTGGAATATGAGGGAGTTACCAAGGTGACATCCAGGGTCTCTACCAGTGTCAACCTTCTAGAACTTGGTGAACCTGTGGCGGGTGGTCTGTGAATATGGGGGAGATGAGGGGGACAATCCAGAGGGCCCTGTGAGACCTGCAGAGAAACCTCCCTTCCTAGGTCTCTGTGTCCTCAGCTGCAACAAGGGGCCTGGATCAGATGACCTCTAGGGTCCTCAGCAACACCACTTGGGGACTTCAGGTCTGTCGCCAAAGTCCTGTTTTTCCTCATCACCACAGCTTGGGCCAGGAATGGAGCCCAAATCCTGCCCGCTGTGTAATCTGTGCCAAATATCTACTTGGAGCAGCCAGCCCTAAACCCCAAGCTACTGGGCAGGGTTGGTATTTGGACAAAAGGAAGCTCCCCGTGCCCTACCCAAATCACGCTGCTGTTCCATCTGCTGCTCTGAGGCACCAGGGCATCCTCTACCTGGGGATCTCTCATCTCCCCACCTTCCCTCTAACCATGAAAGCACAGGCTCTTGTTCCCCATTAGAAGAATGCCAGGCAGTGGATGGCAGAGGCATTTGCAGGCAGCAAGGTCTTCCCAAGACCTGTGAAGACATACCTCACATTCCGCTCAATCCCATTACTGACTCAAAAGTCAGGTTGAGGCCAGAAAATCAGAAGGGTGTGAAATTATAAAGCAGTGTTCCAGCCCCTGGACCAGCAGAACAGGATGTGGACTGGATGCTTTACAATGGGGTCAGATGCGCCTGCCCATAGCTGCTCCAAGACCCCTGCCCAGGTTAAGGATCCCACCAGCCGTCAGTTCGCTGCCTGCCCTGTGATTTCCACAGCTTAGTAAGTGTTTCTAAAAATCCCTTAGAAGGTTATCCGTAGAACCAGGATTTGGCCTTAGCATGGAGACCTTTGTGATCTTAAGCTTGTCACTCAGCTTTTCCATCTCTCAGCTCTGCCACATAAACATTAATCTAAAGCCTAGTTATGAGTTTCCTCGGGCAAGAGCATTACTTAGGAAAATGAAATGAAAGGACGTGGCCAGTACGTTCCCCATGGTTATCTTTGGGTGGATTTGATTGTTCTGTGTATTCTTATGCTTCTCTGTCATTTCCCAATTTTTGACAATAAGCATATGCTATTTTTGTAAGAACAAAAATTAAATATAATTATTTAAAAGAGGGTTCTACATACATACAACTGTTCACTGGTTCACCCTGTCTGATTTCCTCACTGGCAATGTCCTCAACAATTTGTCCTTAGGCTGGAAGGGACCCAATAGCTCATCCAGTCCCAACCCTCGTCTTACCAAGGAGGAGACTGCCTGCTCTCACACTAGGCCTTGTCAGCTGTATACCCTGCAGGAGAAGTCACACTGACCTCTTCTGACTTCCTCACCAAGGAAAGTTTAAAGAAAACCCAGCAGAGACAAAAGCAGATGGAGGGGAAGGCAATTCCTTAGATAAGAAGTTTATACATCAAGTTTATGTCCTTTAAGAATATTCGCCTTTCTCCTCCCCTCTACTCACGGAGTCTTCCTGGCAGCCTGCAGATTCCCCTGTCACCTAGCAGGTTCACTCGAGCTTCATATCTGGCTTGGGCCTGGGTGCCAGGGGGCGGTGTGGCTGCCTTGGGACTCACAGGAGAACCAGCCAATGCTCCCTCCTAGAGACAGAGAGAAAACCAGGGCAGTCAAAGATGAGCATCTTGGTGAAGGCTCAGTCATCCTTAAATGTATTAAGAATGTTTTTTCAAAGGGAGGAGTGTCCATCACCATGTCTGCCTGAAAGGTAGGAACCACATATATCTTCAGCTTGGTACAGTCAGCGTCTTATGCACAATGGACACTTGATAAATTTCATCTTTCTGATTCAAGTTTTTCATGCATCTGTCTGAGCCTACCAGAAGAAGGTTCCCCCGTCAAGACTTGACTTGTAAACTGGAAATCTGAGAGCCTAGAAACCTTGGTGAGAGGACACAGGGAACCTGGGGGCCAGGATAAAAAAGACCTTAAATCAGAAACAAACAAACAAAAAATGCTATTTTCAAAAGAGAAAAAGAAAGAATAAATTTCAGAATCCCAAGTTCCAACCAAGGGAAGTCTGTATCTTTACATGTTATAATCAGCCTAGCCCCTAGAGGTGATTCGGTTCATTCATCAGGATGAGGGGATTAAAAAGTGACAGGATTTTGTAGATCCCTGGAACTCATGCCTAGCCACAGGCTGCCACATCCTGAAAAGTAAAAGTGAAACCAATTCCAGCAAGAGCCATTGTCTTACTCTGGGAATCTTTGAGAGCCTTGTGTTCATCTTTTGGTGTCTGAGGAGGGCAATGTGCAGCAAAAGACTCTGGATCTAGAGCCAGCAAGGCAAACTCCGGAAGCCATGGCCGCCACAGAGGAGGATTCGACAACTTTTGGGGTAGTTCCCACTGCATTTCTTGTCTGCCCCCAGCCCCCATGTCTCAGGTGGTGCTGTTTCCCAGGTAACCCCACCTCAGAGATTGCCACCTGACAGAGGGGGCTTGCGAAGCTGGAGAAGGGGCTTAAGGCCTAGACTTGGCTCCCTGTCTACTCTTCCAAGTATGAGGAACAGGGAATCCCAGGCTGTGACTGCCTGGGAAATGCCAGCCAGGGAGCTCCAGACAGTTAGAGCTCTGGGTTTCAGCATGAAGGCCAGGGAGAGGTCTGATAAAATATGGTTGTGGGTGTGAATCTTGGAAAGAGAGAAGTGGAGGTGAGAAGGCGGCCCAGCTCTGGGGGGTTCTGAGGCTCTTGAAGAAATAAGGCAAATGTAGAAAGACCACTTAAGGAGGGGAGTCCCTACAGGGCTGCATTTGCCAGCTGTGAGGGTCTGGCTTGTGCAGGAACTACATCTGGTTGGCATAGGAGTGAGAAGAGGTATAGGGGAGCAGTATAGACACAGATGGGTTTCAAACAAAAAGTGAGGAGCTTGAAGTGAGTGAAGGAGAGTGAGAAGCGGTGAGGGATGGATAGTGAGGTGTGGGAATATATTGGAAAGCGATTCCAGCCAAGGTCTGATAAAATGGGTATGGGAATTGAGGTGGTGGAGGGCAGGTGGCTCCTTGTGCACGCTGCGTGCTCCGGCTGCCAGGCTCTTACCTGCATTACAGGTGAAGGTGAGGGAGCCACCCGCTGTCCGTGGTGAGCGCTCTGGTGGCTGCAGTTGCTGGGCTCTCCGGCGTTCTCAGGCCCTCCGCTAACTTTGCCCTCAAAACTGGAAGGTCGCGTGGGAGGAAATCTCTTTCAAATTGCGCCTGGTGCTGCGCGCTCGGGTTCCCAGGCGAGCAGGCGCGCAGGGCGCTCCGGTAATTGCTATCCTTCCGGGAATCGAAAATGAAAGAGCGGGATCCGGCTTCCACTCCCGCCTGGGTCGTTTTACGGGAGGGAAGGGGCTGGCCCCTGCGGGAGCGGAGTCCCTGGGCGCTGTAGCTCGCCGGCTGGGAAGCGTCGGTCCTGCTCTCATCCTTTCGCAGAGGGACAGCCCCTCCCTCGCGAGGGCTGCCTGGCACTGGCTTCCAGGGGGACTGAGATGGGATTCTGCGAGACCTGGAGAGCCAAGGGAACCCCTAGTCCTGGGCTCGCGACAGCGACAGATCAATTTCATGTCACCCTTGTGCGTCTCCGCAGGTGGATAGGTGGGGGCCTCCTATACTGTCTACGTGAACCAGGTGCTTCTCCCCTTAGGGGTGTGAAGGTCCCAGCCCTGACCTGGCCTCGGCCTTTCCTTTGGCCCAGTGGACGCCCCACCACCCCAGGCCCGAGCACCACCATCAGAGAGGCTCTTCCTGACCTAAACCAGAGTGCTCAGTGGATCCTATGGCCACCTTTTCCCTGGCCTCTGGCAGCTCTAGGTGTGGTGCCCACCCCATCCCCCAATGTATACCTGCCTCAGTTCCCTCTGCCTTAAGGGGAAGCCAAGAATGTTTGTAAGCACTACAGCAAATAAACATACACAGAGGAAAGGAAGCAAGAAAACAATAACCTGCCAAAAATCTGAAGGTGTAGATGCTGTTGGCTTGGCACTGATAAATCGTGAGCTCCTAGAAACCAGTAAGAACAAGACCAGAAACTCAACAGAAAAATGAGCAAAGGCTATGAATAGACAGTCCACATTAAAACAAGATGCTGGTTGGCTCCTGAGCATAGAAAAAGATGCTCAGACTCGCCCATTATAAAAGATGTGTAAATTAAAGTTATTCTAAAAACAAAAATAAAGTTATTCTGAGATACCAATTTTAGCCCATTAATTTGGAAAACATTCAAACGTTTAATAACAATCTGCTGTAGAGGCTGCGGGGAACAGAGAACACTGGGCATATGGAGTGGCATAACCCCATGGAGGGTAGGAGGGCAGGATCTAGCAAAGTCAAATGTATTTATCCTTCACTCTGTTATGGAAACGACAGGCCAGTTAAGAAACAAGCACCACTTGGAGGGTTGGAGTACTCAGCTGTATTACGCTGGCGGGCTCAGAGGGGCTTCTGCTCCGAAGCTCTGAGCACCTGCAAGACGTGCAC